TTTTTTTTTTGTGATAACCCTATCTAACACATAAAACATATCTACTTCCGACATATCACCTAGTAGTGGTCAATGCGACTTTTACGAAAATTTATTATAGTCAGTACCATTTCCATACCCCTATGCTCCCCGCCTGAATACAGTACTAGATGAACTCTTGAACTAAGGAAATCTGAATATAAAAACCTTTAATCTTGGTCGACCACTGCCCTTGAGCTGGTACCTTGAAGAAAATTACCTCTTGGCGGTCAAGGATAAAACGCAAAAAAGGACAAATCTCAATGATTACGAACAAATATTTATAACGGATCGGTCCTAGTCAAAAAGGGCTGCGTACCTCAGAGGGGGACTAATCTGGAGCCTAAGAATCTGTCACTGGAACGAACTTTTCCAACAACAAAGAGACACGTGGTCACCAAACACTGACTATTGGACTAAGTGACTCAATGCCAAATCAACCAATGAAAAGAAAGCAAATGAAATGGTTTGAAGCAGAGTATTAGTAATTCATCCTTTTTCCCCGTACACAAAAATTCACAAAAGGACGACACGAATCAGACATACCAAATATGGTTTGGTTTGTTTTATTTTACGGTATATCAACCTCAATGGGTCATTTAATGCCGACAGTTCTTTTTCCTGGTAATATTTTTGTTTTGACAAAAATCTATTTCTGGTCATATTTTTTTCCTCAAAAACGTATTGTTGGTAATTTTTTTTTTTCGAAAATTAATTTCTGGTAATAATCTTTTACAAAGTATTTCTGGTATAAAAAAACAAACTATTTTTACACATTCATAATGCTTTTTACCGCAGTTTCACTGTTATCTATTTGCCCATAGCTGGGACCCTAATAGGTGCTACCACCCCGGGTTAGCGTGGACCTGGGGACACCAACAATTAATAGGTCGTTCCATGCTCCTCAAAACCTCCTGATCAGAGGCCTTTTGTGTTGGACGTAATTTATCGTCTTACCCTGGACGCAGATGTAGTTTATCGTCATACCCAGGACGGCATACCAAATATGGAGAACTGCAGTAGTAGATGGAATGAGAATCGATCTCAACCAAAACATGCTTGCCAATGTCCGCAGGGACATCGTGCGAAACAAAATACTCAAATGAAGAATTCATAAGACAAAAATAAATAGAACAGAATACATGAACCCCTTCCTCAAATAATAAAGAGATGAGAATAGAAATAAGTAATATGACAGATGATGAGGTAAAATCTAAAATAAATGAGATATGTAATAATAATCTCTCAGGAAATAAAACCAAAGAATCTACCTGTGACATAACCTGTAGTTATCCATATTATGTCATTGAAGATGAATCCAACTAAATTAAGGTAGAATTTCTTGAAAATACCGAAGCGAAAAACCACATCATCCATTTTCTCAGTAGAGTAACTCTCAGATAACATGACCTCCCAAAATGTCATATGACATTAAGCACATTGTCCAAATAAGCAACACTGGACAGCAAACACTGTGAATGGAAAACAAAACTGGGAAACATCACAGAAGTAAATAATGTCATATACGAAACAGCTTGAGCAACAATTTGGAAGCTTGGGATCAAGACAATGAAACCATCAAATTACAGACAAAGAGAGCCAGACTGGAAGGCAAAACTGATGCGATAACAAAAGGAAATCAGATGTGAGAAATACCTCATCTCAGAAATATAGACAGCTACTGAAGGGCCGAAACGTTGTAATAAATATAGCAACAAATATGAGGACAATAGTCCGAATAATGTATATAGTGTATATAATAGTTGATACGATAAGAAACCTAAATGTCTCAATACGCAAATGCAGGAAGAGCAATCGGAAATATAAAATTAAATTACTAAATGAAATTACATCAATCAAGGAAATCCTAAAACAGAAACTGCAGTTAAAGGCAGAGAGAACAAGACGATAGTAAAAACTGTGTAGGTTCCATCGCCAAAAAAAAAAAAGAAGATATTCCAAACGGTCGTTAAGAGATTTTACAGCAAAACTGGAGAAGCAGTTTTACACGTCAAAAAGCCTTCATCCATTGAAAAAGGTACAGAAAAGTTCTGTAAATCTTTGGAACAAACCAAAGGAATATAACCCGAATGCAGAATACATACAACGCGAAGAAGAACGAATGTTCGATAAATCTCTACAAGAATGGGAAAATGTTTTACTTTCAGGGCATAGGCGATCATGGCTCTCCACTTTCCCCTATCCGTTGTGGCTCTCAATAATTTTCGTCTCTGCCACTTCCCCCAGATTACGTTCTGTCATTCACTTTCTTAAGCCCGCCAGTTATGTCACGCGTTGTTTTCCTTTATCTCGCTTTCCGCCTATTTGACCCGTGAGTATCAGATTCTCTAGGTCCTCCTTTGTCATTATGTGTCCAAGAATCTTCAGCTGTCTCTTCCTGCTGTTAAGTATAAGCTTCCTCCTTGTTTGCATCCTATCCAGGACCTCAATGTTGCTCAAACACTCGCTACATAATATCCTATGCATCTTTCTGTTGCCTCGAGTCTATTCATGTTTGAGGAGACCGTCCAAAATTCACTGCCGTATAGGAGGACAGATGTCACTGTGCAGTTCAGTACTCTTTTCTTTGTCACCAAATAAATCCTCCTTTATCGCAGTACTCTTCCCATCTTTTGGAATTCATCCTTGGCCATCCTAATTCGTCTTCGGACCTCAGCGACGCACCTCCCGTCCTATTCTTTATATATATATATATATATATATATATATATATATATATATATATATTCCTGTTATATCACTAGATGTTGTTACTGTGTAGAATAGTTGGGCAACAATCAATCACATTAAGAAACACGTACAACTAGTCTGATTGCATTCTAAAAAACAGTACAATCAGCCAATTGTGCCATACGTGGAATTCGAACTTAACTCTCCGATTCCACAATCCTAGCTGGTATCCATTACTCCACCGTGTCCCCGTACATTAAGTCTGTTATATACCCGATGTTTTCCAGTTGTCAGCGATAGGTAGATCTGAATAGATTGGAATATATATATATATATATATATATATATATATATATATATATATATATATATATATATATATATATATATATATAGAGAGAGAGAGAGAGAGAGAGAGAGAGTTTGTTAGCAAGAAATTAAGTTTATTTCAGTTGCCACGACTGCAAAAGGCACACTACGTTTTGGTTTAAAAACAGCGTGTGTGTCTCTATGTAAAACAGAAACAATAAGAATCTTTACACTATCTACATTATTCGGACTATTTTCCTCATCTTTGTCGCCATGTTTATCACAACGTTTCGGCTATAGTACGCTTCTGCTTTCTTCAGGTGGTTGGAATGTCGAACTGAACTCTTTATTTCGCCCGCTGGGGTAGACTGTTCTAGTTCCACGTGCCATGCTTAATGGATGTCAGTTATCTCCTGTTAATTCCTCTCTCCAAGTTCTCCATTGACGCAACCGGGTATTGACAGGACCCAAAGAGTATGAGTTCAATATCCGGTTGAGGCACATAATACCTCATCTCAGAAATATAGACAGATACTGAAGGCCCGAAACGTTGTAATAAATATGGTGACAAAGATGAGGACAATAGTTCGAATAATGTAAATAATATACATAATACCTCATCTCAGAAATATAGAGAGATACTAAGGTCTTTTGCATAAAATTTAGGGCTTGAATTCGCATGGAAGTAGTTATTGTGGCAATCGAATGATAACTTTGAGTAGTGGCCTAGAAAGTGTTTTAGGTGAAATGTAGATTTTAATGCTGTATTTACGATCTAGCCAATGATTTTTGCCCGAATTCTAATGAGGTCGTAAACAAGCCAAAATGGAGAACGAGATGAAAAGAAGACACAGGAACACATTCAGCAATATAATCTAATCATATTAGCAAATTGATAACAGTTATCGATAATAAAGTCAATAGAATTAAAGCGCGGCGCTACTGAAAGTTAACAATGTAAATCACATTACTATGTGATTGGATTGATAAAAATAATTATGGCGTTAGTAGTATGAGTAATAAACATACATATCGATCCATGTATATATCGATATCCAGATAGAAAAATACAGAGATATAAAGTTTGCCTTGGGAAAAACACCCAGAAAATTGGGGAAGGGTACTGGCTCAATTTTAGAAATATATATATATATATATATATATATATATATATATATATATATATATATATATATATATATATGGATAATCTTTAATAATTCTGAAATGTGAATAGAGAGATAGAAACAGCTATGTGCTAGGTGTATTTATTGTTTCAACAGTGCCACAAAGCCAATTTTTTGACAGATGGATAGATAGATATAAATTGGTTTATGCTTGATAGATTGATAGAGAGATAACAACGTATCTCTATTCCGATAGATAAAATTATTTTTGTCTTCCACAATGCTAAAAAAATTGTTTTTCAATACATAGTTAGATAGATGTAAAATGGTACATACTAGATACATTGCTAGAAAGATAACTTATTTCTAGTTTTTCTACAAAATAGATAAATGTATTTTTCGTCCACAAATCAAATTTTATCTCCTCTCTCTCTCTCTCTCTCTCTATATATATATATATATATATATATATATATATATATATATATATGTGTGTGTGTGTGTATATGTATATATATATATATATATCGATACATAGATCGAAATAAATTGTTTGATACTTGAAAAATTGATAGAGCGATAACAACGTGATAGATAGATAGATAGATAGATAGATAGATACATAGATAGATGAATGTATTTTTGTCTTCCATAATGCTACAAAAATCATTCGTTTCAATAGATAGATAAATAGATCTGTAATTAGATAGATAGATAGATAGATAGATAGATAGATAGATAATGATATATGCTAGATAGATTGCTAGGCAGATAACATATTTCTAGTTTTCTACAAGTATATATAATGTGATACATAGATAAACGATAAGGCCAGAAATCTAATTTTTAGATTTTCTATCTATCTATATATATATATATATATATATATATATATATATATATATATATATATATATATAGAGAGAGAGAGAGAGAGAGAGAGAGAGATAGATAGATAGATAGATAGATAGATAGATAGATAGATATGATGAGATAGATAGATAGATAGATAGATAGATAGATAGATAGATAGATAGCTGGGGGGTTGGTTTTCTGATGATAGTATCTGGGCAGATAAGATCTTTATGAAGACAGATTAAGTCTTTCGGGCGAATCATTTACCCAATTATCCTTTAATGGATTCGCTTTCGCCTCAATGAGTACCGGCCCGACCTTGAATGTGAAGCTATTTTCTGCCTGCATCCCAGGGAAGTGATTTAACAGAGGCTGGAAAATACGACACCAAAATACGAACACGCGCATCTGATTAGCGAAATATGCTTTCCTAAAACGAAGCCACGTATCAAGAAAAAAGAAAAATAATGCATTAAAAAACAAACTACAGTAATTTAAATATCTAGGAATTGTTTTGACTGAGGACAACATATGCCACACCGACATCTGAAGGTGCGTTGTCATAGTAAATGATGCCTTCCTGTTATATAGGAATAAAGTGTCGCTGCCGACACTTGAGTTTGAACATAGATCGCCAGTGAGTAAATACGGGCGATCCCATTATTGAATTAAGTACATCACGTGAACATAGAGGAAACGAATATATAGCAGCTTGCCTGTCGTTTAATTGATCGCTATTCCTAGTCTATCCTCTATAATCCACAGATCGCTATTTCTACTCTATCCTCTATTATTATACGGACCGCTATTCTTTACTCTATTTATTATACTATCTCTCTATTCGGATCATTATACGGATTACTATTCGATCGAGTATTATCGAGCAAGTGCGAGTGTTATTCAAAGGCGTCTGATACCAGTATTGTTCGACGGTGTTACTATAGTTGTAACTGCGATTCCAAAGTCTCTACTACAACGAGAATTACAAATGTGACAACGAGTATCGAAAATAGCAAGGAGTGTTCGTGAACATCAGAAAACTTCCAAAAGCTAAGGAAAATATAAAGAATTTGGTTGGTTGATTGTTTTGTTTTATGGCATATCAAAACCTCAGTGGGTCATTTAATGCCAACAATTTTTTTTAAATAGATTCATAGCGATAGCTTGGTAAAAAATGTGTGTATGTATACATATATATTTGAACCATAATACATCATCTCAGAGATATATTGTTCGAAACATTGTGAATATGGCAATGAAGATGAGGGTAACAGTACGAATAATGTAACTAATGCAAGTAATCCTAATACCTCATCTCAGAGATATAGAGGCCGAAGCATTGTGAATATGGCAATGAAGATGAGGATAACACTCTGAATAATGTAAATAATACAAGTAATCATAACACCTCATCTCAGAGATATAGAGGCCGATACGTTGTCAATATGACAAGGAAGATTAGGATAACAATCCGCATAATGTAAATAATGCAACTAATCATAATACCGCGTCTCAGAGATATAGACAGATAGTGTTCTTTACATATGGCAATGAATGCTGAAGAATCTCATCACGAAGAGAACGCTAGAGGCTAGAGCTATGTAGTTCTGCAGAAGTATACTGAAAATCAATGGATGGAGCGAGTAAGATTTGGTAAAGAAATGGAAGCCAAAAATAGCACTTATACTGAGAATCAGAAGAATCTGAGATTTCTTGGACATAAAATGAGGAAAGAAAGTTTGGAAAACAACACTCACGTCTCATATCGAAGGCAAGAGAGATATTGAAAAGCAAGCTAGCCACAGTCATCTTGTGTGAATGGCTGTCGTGACGATGGTTTTGCCGAAGGTTGGAGTGCTGCAAAGAGCCACGAGTGATAGGGGTTGTGGTGAGTCATGTCCGCCTCTGTCCTGAAGGGATACGGCGCACAGATGAAGACGAAGATTCTCATTGATTTATGGGCACATCGGAAGCATCAAAATCAAGCTGGTGTGAGAAATCGTTATATAACAGACGAGAAAATGTGAGATAGAAAAATGAGCAGTTGCATATAAGTTGCCAAAGGTGCTTTCCGGAAACTGAACAAATTATTAACAGACTGGAACATGACACCAGAAAAAAAAATGGAACGAAGATTCAACTGTCATGACGGATTTAAAATGACCTTGTTCTCTTTCTAATGGTTAGTGGTGAGAATACCCGCGACAGAGCATGCGTGAATGCCTACATATTGGAAACCAAAATCAAGTAGATACCAGAAGGGTTTTAAAAGAGGACAGAAAATGTGAGATCGAAATCCAGTGGCGCATTGAAGTAACGAAATACGCCCTCACATAAGAAGGAAAGAAGGCTTAGAAAATGTGTCACTCAAAAAGTTATATTCAAGCGCAGAGGAAAACAACGAATAATATACCTAACATGGTGGTTTTTTCAGAAGAAGGACTAGTGTAGACACCAAAAGACTAACACGACTATGAGCTACAAATGACAGAAAGTCATA